CCCGCGGGCTTAGGCAATCCACTCACTTCAGCCTCCCAAAGGCGCGGGATTACAGGCTGAGCCACTGAGCCCGGCTGTGCTATTATATTCTTTAAAGCAGGATAATGATTTAGTCTCAAGATTTCTTAATCTCATCACACTATGGCAAAATTTACTTCTTTATTCCATTTCAACTATTATCAGAGCAAGGTCTTAACAATCAAGGCTTACACATCTATAGTGAACACTAAAAAAAAATCTAATGAAACATCAAGTTTTGACTTTGGGAACTCTCAACTTAAGATTTTTAACTCCAGAATTAGACATCATACCATAAATGGTACCTGATTTGATCATAGTCTGATACAATTCCAGGCAACCAACCTGCCTAAACTGTCCCTCTGAAACACCATCCCGATAAAAGATGATACGAGTAGGTTTGAACCGAGTTGACTTATAAAATTGAATGAGAAGTTCTCGGACCATGGAGGCCAAGTCCTGGATGATCTCCTGTCGAGGTCTCTGAACTCTTACTGTGGCACAGTATCTGCTTGGGTGGGCATCCATACTACCTACAACCTAGGTTGGAAAAATAAAGAAAAAATATAAGATAATCCAAACTATACAAGTTTCATTTACATTTTTATTTTAGTATAACAGTTGATCACTGTTTACTTTGAAAGTAATCAAAATAGTAACTCTGAGCCAGGCATGGTGGCACATCCTGTAGCCCCAGCTACTCTGGAGGCTGAGGCAGAAGGACTGGAGTTGGAGGCAAAACTGGCTAATATAGTGAGACACCCCTCATTTAAAAAAAAAAATAAAGGCAATTCCCAGTGAAGAAAAGAATAAAAGACTCAGTATAGGGTCTATTTTTCTGTAAGTAGGCTGAACTTTACCATTTAACAATTAGATTTGGCTGGGCACAATGGCTCATGCCTGTACTCCCAGCACTTTGGGAGGCTGAGGCAGGAGGATTGTTTGAGCCCAGGAGTTCAAGACCAGTCTGGGCAACACAGTGAAAATTCCTCTCTACAAAAGACAAAAAAAAAAATTAGTGGGGCATGGTGGTGTTCACCTGTAGTCCCAGCTACTCAGGAGGCTGAGGTAGAAGGATTGCCTGAGCCCAGGAGGTTGAGGCTTTGGTAAACCGTGATCATGCCACTGCATTCCAGCCTGGGTTTAAAAACAAAACAAAACAAAAAAACCAATAACAAAAACCCCCAATTAGATTCTATATGTTGTTGGGACCTAAAGATTAGTAAGGAAAGAAAAGGACAAAAAAAAGTACCTAAAGAAAATAAGAGAAAGGAATTAAGTAAACAAGAGGATAAACTCAAACCACTGATTTATCTTCATTTCTCTTCTACTTTAGCAACACATTCGAGAAGCCATACTTAACACTTTAGCATCATTTCAGTATTGTTATGCTTCATAATTTTTTGTTTGAATCAGCGTCTCACTCTGTTGCCCAGGCTGGAATCTTTCTGTGTCTTATTTAAAATTGTTTGGAGCAGAAGAAACCTTAAAGCATGAACTAGTATCATTATTCTGATCAGAGCCTAGGTTGGTCACCACCTCCAGACTCTCTTTCATCCAGGGTAGTCTGTACCAAAGCCACACTTCAAAAATGGAACTCTGGGGAGGAAGTAAAGGAGCACAAGACAAAACAATAGTTACCAGGCCCACTACCAGGCGGAGTGAGGGCCAGCTAGAAGTCCAAGCTTCACCTTTATGTAGCCTACTTATATAGTAAATCCTAACTTGTACTTCACAACTCTATAATAAATAAATACATTTAAAAATAGAACTCTGACCATTTCTTTCCCTTGAAAGGAATCTCATCACTAAAGAATAAAAACAAACTCTTCTGATGTACAAAATGCCTTACAAAAGCTTACTAGCGTCACAGCCTGTTATACTACATTCCAATTTCCTGTATTTTTCAACATCCCCAAAACATACCAAGTTCTTGTAGTATAAATTTTAATTTATCTTATTATCACGGTAGTATCTAATATACTATGTGGCATTTAGTACTTACATTTGTTTGTACACTACTCTCCATGCTTTTAGGAATAGAAACCATATAGCAAAAAGAACCAATTAATACACTACATTTAAAAAGACTTCTGATAATAATAAAAGAAAGTGGCTATTTGGTAGAAACGCATTTAGTAGAAAAGGACAATGACTACCAGAAGTCCAAAGGAATTAAAAATGATTAAACTTTCTTAGAAAATGACCTCAAAGTAACAAATCCATGGTAAGTCTTTTAAGTTTCTTTCTTTATCCCTTTTTCTTCTATAAGAACATTTAATTAAATTTTTTGTTTGTTGTCTTTTTTGAGTTGGAGTCTCACTCTGTCACCCAGGTTGGAGTACAGTGGTATGCTTCTGGCCACTGCAGTCTCGACCTGCTGGGCTCAGGCGATCCTTCCACCTCAGCCTTCCAAGTAGCTGGAACCACAGGCATGCACCACCACCCCGGCTAGTTTTTCTTGATTTATTGTAGAGATAAGGTCTTGCCAAGTTGCCCAGACTGGCGAACCAGTGGGCTCAGGCAATCCTTTCACCTCAGCCTCCCAAAGTGCTGGGATTATAGGTGTGAGCCACCACGCTTGGCCTATAAGAACATTTTAATGAATATCAGAGATGGTGCAATATTACCACCAGAACACTTTAAATAAAAATCATTCATATATAATATTAAAAATACAAAGCAATACAATTTATTAACAGATAAAAACCAATTTTCTTCGCTAATGAAAATAGCTTTGGGATCTCTAAGTGAAAATTTTAATGTTATTATCATTTTTAAAGATTTATCAGATTGTCAAAATTTTAAATTTATGTCAAGATCACCATAATGGACAACAGAAGAATAAAAAAAGTGGCTTAATATCTAAAGTTTATTAAGTATGCCTAAAATATGTTTACATTATCAAAATGGGTGAAATATTATCAGGCTTTCTGAAGTTGTAAGACATTCACTTAAAACAATCTGACACAGAAAAGTTACAAATACAGAGGAAGGCAAAAATATAATTGGTAGTACTAACAAAAAAATTCAGGTGCAAAATATTGCACTGGATGACGGCAGAAGAAATTTTATATTGAAAAAATATAATCAATTTTACATGTAGTCCATCTTTTTATAACAAAGGCACTACAGAAATATATAAACAGATACTTTGAATCATAAAACGTAACTAAAAATGAACAATTATTTGAGATCAAGTAGAAAAATTAAAGTGGAATACAGAAGTTTTGAATACTATAATTTAACTTGACTTAATAGAGATGTATATGGAACTTGTAACCCCAGATAATAATCATTCCTTTAAAAAAATCCAAAGAACATTTATGAAAGTTGGCTACAAAGACGATAACATTAAATTCAACAAGTTGAAACCAACATTTTTTTTTTTTTTTTGAGTTGGAGTCTCACTCTGTCGCTGAGGCTGGAGTGTGGTGGCACGCTCACGGTCACCCCAGCGTCTACCTGCTGGGCTCTGGCGATCCTTCTGCCTCAGCCTTGCCTGGCTAATTTTTTGATTTATTGTAGAGAAGAGGTCTCACCATGTTGCCCAGGTTGGTCTCGAACATATGCACTTAGGCAATCCTCTTTTTGCCTTGGCCTCCCAAAGTGTTGGGATTACAGGCTTGAGCCACTGCGCCCGACTGAAACCAACAATATTGATATTGGTCTAAACTTTAGATAAAATAGATCATCCTAATGATACTCACAGCAGCAATAGAAGGCTTCTTTCCATCACCAGCAGGTGGATGAGTGACATCTGCTCCCAAAAAGATCACTGGTTGCTGGAACACAGAAGGTCTTAAACACATTTTTTAAAAGTGGGTTAGAGATTTCATTTTTTCATTATCAATGTATCTGTTTCATATGATTACAACACAACCACAAGTTACTGATGGCACAGAGGCATAATATAGACATATAGATAGCTTCATGGGCCTGAAGTCTAACTGCTTTACCCTCTTAATTCATGAATCCTGGATCAAATGAAATAAAATCTCTCAGTAGGTCTATCCAAAGTCTCATTCAGGGCAGTGTTTTTTTTTTTTTTAAATCTTAAGCAGTGTGGCTGGTGACTGTGAAGGACAACAGGTGCTAGTGTTCTTCAAAATGGGCACAAAATGATAAACTTCCCTATTATAATTCACCAATTTTTATCAATCTTTTAAAATCTATTTATATTTTAAGCCTTTACAACCTCTCAAGGAGAAAAAATCATAAAACTTTAGGCTGAAAGGAATTTTGGGAGTGTACAATTCCTCCTGCCCTGGGCAAAAGTATAAATTTAAGTAACATATATTTGATACTTACAAAGTACCTAGTATTTCCTTTATTTTAAAACTATATCCTTTGTAATTCAAATGTCTAGCTCTTAATTCTTGGACTTGTTAATGAAATTCTATATTCATCTCAAATATGGATCTCATCTTATGTTTAACAGAGATAGGAAGTAGAAGTAGCATGAGAAAGCAGAAAAAAAAGACTTTTGTGTCAAACACATGGGTCAGTCCTGATTGTAATGCTTATTTTGGTGCATGCTGGTCAAGATATTTAACTTCTTTGAGCCCTAAATGCTTCAACTATTAAAAGAGAACCTGTTGTTCAGTTATCTGAAAAACAGCCTCTTTCTTAGTGACCTGTACAGTCAGCTACTTCCTGTTTCTAGGTCTCGATATCTCATGCTTCCAAAGAGCTTCAGGTGTAATGAGGGCGATCTAACAATAACATGTTATCTGGCTATAGCAAGGATTTGATATGACTTCTTTAATTGACTAACCACATGCTCTCTCCCATCCCCAATTCCCTTTTTTCCTCCCTGGTATTCTAGGTGAGTAGCCTCAGCAAACTACGTTGAAGATAACTATCAAACAAAGTGAAAATTCTTTAAGCTGGACTCTCCAGTGAGAATTACATAAAGTTCTCAATACTTTCTGGCTAGGCAAGAGGTATTTTACATACTAAATGAAAATGGAGGGGGCAAATTTTCACAAGTAAGTCTCATAACCTTGTCAATTCAAACTTTTAATTTTTTACCAAAATGTCTAAGAATCTCATATGGCAGGAATAATTAACGTTGTCTCTTACACAGATCTTTTTTTTTTTTTGAGTTGGAGTCTCACTCTGTCACCCAGACTGGAATGCAATGGCCGCTCCCGGCTACCGCAGCCTTGACCTGCTGGGTGCCGGTGATCCTTCCACCTCAGCCTTTTAAGTAGCTGGAACTACAGGTGCGCGCTACCACGCCCGGCTAATTTCTGATTTATTGTAGAGATGAGGTCTCGTCAAATTGCCCAGGCGGGTGTCAAACCCTCAGGCTCAGGCAATCCACTCACCTTGGCCTCCCAAAGTGCTGGGATTACAGGCTCAGCCACCGAGCCCAGTCCTACACAGATCTTATAGTAGTTAGATATGGTTACATATAGACAAATGAAGATATGAAAAATAATGAGTATTTTCATAAGTGATTAGCTTATCTTACCTTTGATGAGGTACAAGAATATTATTGATTCCTCCAAGTTTAACATTTATCTTTAGGCACAAGTTTGAGAGAGTTTGAGGAGATGTTTTTATTACATTCTTGACTTGAACACATTGTGTAGCCATACCCAAAAGTGTATCTCCTACACGTTTCACTTCCGCTATGGAACGAATGCAAATACCTCTAGTCAGAAAAAAGACCTGAAAATAATTTTATTTACTGAAAATAAAGCTACTATGTTTCCAATACTTCATTGTATTACAGGACGCTAAAGATTTCACCAATAGTACTAAAACAATGCTGTTAAAATGCCAAGTATATAGCCTTGAAGATTACCTTAAGTGTTTAGTGATAACTTTTCCAGTTATTTTGTTCTTTGTATAAAAACAAATATTTTTACTATCATAAAAATAGTATAATTACAATAACTGAAAGCATAAAGAGAAAATATAGACATAATCCCTTGTTATCATTTTACTGGTACTCCCTTCCAAAAATTTTCTCATTTACATTATTTTTATGCCCTTATATTCACAGTATATGTAATAGTTCTCAATCCCATTCTCTTACCTTTAATTTAAAAATGCAGAAGTATTATAGTGTAAAGAGTAAAAGGCCTCTGGTTCTTTCCTTTTTTCTGCCATTATAACTATCATAAAGATGTCAGTGTACATAACTTCATGTATATAAAATACATGGAAAACATTTAAAAATAAAAACTGAGAACATAATTATACATCCTATTTTGCAACTTGTCACTTTCACTTAATAAAGTCCAGTACTCAATCTCAATATATAAATTGCCCTTATTATTATTTATTTTATTTTATTTTAAAATTGTGGGGTACAATTCAGGGTTAGGTGTACAAATATTCATTGTGCAGGCATCTACCCTTGTTGATGAGATATGCCCCCCATGCCCTTATTATTTATAACAGCAGTGGTTTTTTTCTGTTTTCAAATGTACAATGTATCTCTAATCAGTCATACACAGATATGTTTTTAGGCTGCTCCATGTTTTCATGATTTCGAACAATACTAAGAATAACACCCTTGTATATTTTTGTTTGTTGTTTACCTTCAGGATAAATTTCTGCAAGTAAAATTGAAGAATCAGAAGAAATATATTTAACATTTTTATAGACACTGACATTCAGGTCATTCAACACATTTTTAATGTGTACCCAATATATATTACTAGTACTGGTGTACTGATACTGCACATAGCTCTATATACACAATAGCATATGGTGGGCATGTCTTGCTAGGCAGCAATAACTCAAGTATACCAGAAGAATGACCCTATGTTCCTTGGTGAATGTGTGTTCAGTGTTCCAAGGTATGAACTTTGGGAATGGCCAATTTGGATGTTTATGCCCTGTGAAGAACATCTGGACCCTGGCCATTCCTTGGAACACTGGACATGAAAGAGCCTGAGATCCTTTGTTCTGAGATAGGTGGAGGGTGCTATGTGAAAGTTACTATATAACCATCATGCTTGCCACAAAGGGTAGTGTTTTCCCTGTCTAGCAAGCTTCCCTGGAAGCCTTCTGTGTAAGTCTCCTATATCTCACTTGCTGTCTCTGGGGGTCTTTTTTCTTTGCCCTCTTGGATGCTGTGCCATCCCTGTTGGACTCAATGGGGTCCAGCATGACAAATGGTGAATCAACAGAGACATTACTCTTGCCCTCACAGAACTTATAGTCTAGTTAGATAAATAGGCATTAAGTAAATAACTGCTCAAATTTAACATCAAACTGTGAAAGTAATATAAAGAAGAGGTACAAAGAGCAATAAGACAATAAAAGAGAAAGAATTTGACCTTGCCAAGAAGGTCAGACAAAACTTTCCCAAGGAAGGAATGTCTTAACTAAAGTTCAAATGAAGAACATGCATTTACTTGGTGAAGGGGGGAAGTAGGGTATGAGACGCAAAACAGGTAGAAGGCAGAGAATGAACAAACTCTCCTTGGGGAAAAGAGCATAGAACAAAATGAATCCTTAAAGGGTAGGGAGCCATGGATTTGAATATGTAAACCTTTGGAAGATCATCCTAACTTTATTATTTTTAAAATATTATTGCTGCCAAACTCTGTAAAAAAATTTTTTTATTTTTATTTTTTATTGTAGAGATGAGGGCTCACCAAGTTGCCCAGGTTAGTCTTGAACCCGCGGGCTCAGGCAATCCTCTCACCTTGGCCACCCAAAGTGCTGGGATTACAGGCTTGAGCCACCATGCCCAGCCCTGTAAAATATTTTAAGATGGTTTATTCTTGAACCAAAATTGAGGACTTAATCCTGGAACACTCATTCTCAGGAGGTCCTAAGAAAGTGTGCCCACTGTGGCTGAATGGTGGCTTGGTTACATGTATTTTATGATGGCAGAAGTTAAAAGAAATCACAAATCAATACATGTGAGACTTTCATTAGTTTGGCTTAGGAAGGAGGAACATTTCCAAGTGGGGTTTGCAGTCATAGAGGATTCAAAGATTTCTTGACTAATAATCTGTAGTTCCTATCTAAGGAATTTGAGAAACCAGTAGAGAAGATACTTTTTTAAGACACAGGGCACAGGAAAAAGCAAGCATTTGAAATATGTCCAGAGAGGTTTCTTTCTGTTTTTTTTAGTTGGAAGCTCACTCTGTCGCCCAGGCAACCGGTCATTCACGGCCACCCCAGCATCTACCTGTAGAACCTTCCACCTCAGCCTTCCAAGTAGCTGGAATTACAGGCACATACCACCACGCCTGGCTAATTTTTTGATTTACTGTAGAGACGAGCTCTCACCAAGTTGCCCAGGTGGTCTCAAACCCCGGGGCTCAGGCAATCCTCTCGCCTTGGCCTCCCAAAGTGCTGGGATTACAGGCTTGAGCCACCGCGCCTGGTCGAGAGGTTTCTTTAATAAAAGGTCTGGCCTCAAGGGAAATTACTTTACCAATGCCTAATCTGACTAGGGGAGAGCAATTTAACAATTCCAGCCCATCTAGCCTTCCAGTCACACTTAAAAAGAGAGGGGAAAAAAAGGGCTAATAAGTACTTCTGACGATTACATGCAGGGACTCACACCAATAGGAAAAGTCGTTGAGATTTGGTCATAAGATTATAGAATACTTCCTTTCTGCAATACCTAGCCACATCAACAGAGCTCCAGTATAACAAACAGTAGATTATAACTGTGAGAGGTGGAAGGAGAACTTTTTTTTTTTTTTTTTTGAGTTGGAGTCTCACTCTGTCACCCAGACTGGAGGGCAGTAGCCGCTCCCGGCTACTGCAGCCTCGACCTGCTGGGCTCCGGCAATCTTTCCACCTCAGCCTTCCATGTAGCTGGAACTACAGGCACATGCTACCACACCTGGCTCATCTTGATTTATTGTAGAGATGAGGTCTCGCCAAGTTTGCCCAGGTGGGTTGCAAACCTGCAGGCTCAGGCAATCCACTCACCTCAGTCTCCCAAAGACACGGGATTACAGGCTGAGCCACCGAGCCTGGCTGGAAGGAGAACTTCTTAGGGAAACCTCACTGATGCTAGGTGGAGTATGTTGCAAACTCATGGGTTCTTTGACTTAACCCTGAAATGATTTTCAGAGTGGCCATCAAAGTATTAGAACAGACTAAAAATAAAATCTATTGAACAAATCACACATCACTCTGGAAGCAGTGTAGATATTGGAGTGGAAGGAAGTAGATGGAATGTAGTTTGGAGGCTATGGAAATACCAACTTTGCCTCCCATCAGTAGTATATAAGAATGTATATTCAGGCCAGGTGTGGTGGCTCAGCCTGTAATCCTAGCACTTTGGGAGGCCGAGGCGAGAGGATTGCCTGAGCCCGTGGGTTTGAGACCAGACAAAGCAACTTGACGAGACCTCATCTCTACAATAAATCAAAAATTAGCCGGGCATGGTGGTGTGCGTCTGTAGTTCCAGTTACTTGGAAGGTTGAGGTGGAAGGCTTTAGTCCAGCAGGTGGAGGCTGCGGTGGCCAGGAGTGTCACTGCACTCCAGCCTGGGAGACAAGAGTGAGACTCCAACTTAAAAAAAAAAAAAAAAAGAATGTATATTCATTTACATCTTTACCAACAATGGATATTATCATTGTTGTGAAAAATAACTCTTTCTAGTTCATATTTCTTTAATGATTAATGAGGCTGAGTATCTTTTTACAAGACAGTTGACCATTTGTTTTTCTGTTTTATGTTTTTGACCTATCTTTTGATTAGGTTGTTTGGTCTTTTTATTGATTTACAAATTCTTTGAGTTTAAAAAAAATAATAGCCTTCTGTATTTTGTCACAACTTTTAAACTATTCTTTTGATTTTTTTTTTTTTTTTAATTGGAGTCTTACTCTGTTGCCCAGACTGGAGTGCAGAGGCATGCTCCTGGCCACCACAGCCTTGACCTGGGCTCTAGTGATCCTTTCACCTCAGCCTTTCAAGCAGCTGGAACTACAGGTGAGCACTACCACATCCAGCTAATTATTCTTCTGGTTTTTATAACTATTAATTTTAATTACTGTATAATGTATCATCAAGGTACTATAATTTACTCATTATTTAGTACCAGTTCTTAGTTTTTTTAATATCACAGATGCTATTATAAAAATTTTGTGCATAGAGATTTTTCTACAGTATGAATTATTTTCTTTGAATAGATTCTTGGTATTGAAAGTACTGAATCACAGTATAAGGACATGTTTATACTTTTGAGGGAAAGGATAATAACAACATATACTGTTATCAGCAATGTGTTAATACTAGAGCATACTCATAAGCATTAGGCATTAAAACACTGAAATATATTTATTAATTTAGTAGCATAGTTTTTTTCTTTTATTAAATTGTACTTTACTGATAAAAATGAACATTTTCTTATATATTTACTTTTTTTTTTTTTAAACTTGAGATTTTTTTTTTTTTTTGAGTCAGGATCTCTCTCACTCTGTCATTCAGGCTGGAATGCAGTAGCATGATCACTGCTCACTCCAGCCTCGAACTCTTGGGCTCAAGTGATCTCCTGCCTCAGCCTCCTAAGGAGGTGGAACTACAGGCACCTGCCACCACACCTTGTTAATTTAAAAAATTTTTTGGTAGAGATGAGGTGGGCTAAGCTGGTCTAAGCTGGTCTCGAACTCCTGGGTTAAAGCAATCCTCCTACCTTGACCTCCCAAGGTGCTAGGATTTACAGGTGTGAGTCACTATACCTGAAGAGAAATTTTGGTTTATATTATTTTCTCATTAATTTAAGAAACAGAATATTTTTATTTAACTAATAATAAATGAGTTGTTTATGGTTTCTACTTGCTGTAAATATTTTTCATTCTATTCATTTACTTTTTTTTTTGAGTCAGAGTCTCATTCTGTTGTTCAGGCTGGAGTACAGTGGCACGATCATGGCTCATCGCAGTCTTCAACTCCTGGGCTCAAGCGATCCTCCTGCCTCAGCCTCCTAAAGTGCTAGGATTACAGGTATGAGTTACCATGGCCACTCATTTCCGTTTAATTTTAGTGTATTTGTGACATATAGAAAACTTAATTTTTATGCATATCTAACAGGTTGCCTTTGTGACTTCTTATGTAAGCTTCAGTGATTTTACTCCTTTCAGTAGTTTGAAAATTATATTTTCTTTGTGTTTTTCTATAATTCAATGATATATATTTAACTTATCAATCTCATAAACCTTTATTCTGTTTATAATAACAATAGCTAATATTTACTGTGTATTTACTATATGACAACTGCTATTCTGTGCCTTTTATATATGTGGATTCATTTAATCCCTATTCTGTATATGGATTATATGTTACTAGTATCCCAATTCTAGCAGTGAGGAACTAAGGCTTAGTTTGGTTAAGTAATTCCGTCAAATCACACAGGTTGTACAACCAGAAGTCCCTGAATATTGAATATCACAATTTTGACTCCCCAGCATGTGTTTTTAACCACCACATTATTTTGACATTCAAGTTATCCCACTGGCATTTTTATTTAAAAAATTCTAGTCTCACAGCCAGGCACAGTGACTCATACCTATAATCCCAGCACTCTGGGAGGCCAAGGTGAGAGAGAGGATTGCCCTATCCATGGGTTTGAGACCAGTCTGGACAACATGGCGAGACCGTATCTCTATATTAAATCAGGAAAAATTAGTTGGGCATAGTGTCATGTGCCTGTGGTTCCAGCTACTTGGAAGGCTGAGGTGGAAGTACTGCCTGAACTCAGCAGGTCAAGGCTGCGGTGGCTATGAGCGTGCCACTGCACTCCAGCCTGGGTGATAGAGTGAGACTACTACCAAAAAAAAAAAAAATCTAGTCTTAACCATTGTTTTTTGATGCCTCTTTTTTCTTTTCTTTTTCTTTATTTTTTTTTTTTGAGTTGGAGTCTCACTCTGTCGCCCAGACTGGAGTACAGTGGCACACTCTCGGCTACCGCAGCCTTGACCTGCTAGGCTTCGGTGATCCTTCCGCCTCAGCCTTCCAAGTAGCTGGAACTACAGGCACGCATTACCATGCCCAACTAGTTGCCTCTTTTTTCTATTGAAGCTCTTTACACAGGTCTCTTTTGGGGCTCAGTTTGCGCTACTACTTGTCTTAAAGTAACAATACATGATTTTTAAATATTGTAGCTTAAAATCTATTTTAAAACTTGGAAGTTTTAAGATATGTTTTAGACTAATCATAAGAAAAATACTCAATATTTGAGGAAAAATGCAGTCTTAAGATATCCTTACCATACACAGGCGTCTTCCCTGGCAGGATGACAATAATGAGCTGCAGTCCTGAGTAGGTGTTCTTGAGATGCCGGAACATGGGCTCCACACTGTCTGCCCCCTGTGCATACTTGCAGAAACATGGCTGGCCCTGGATGGGCATTCCGGCATCCTTGGAAATCTTTCGTAGTTGGTCTGTGAAACCCCTAGAAGAAGAAACAACTAAATATAAAATCTTTGTCTAGGCATCAATTCCTACAAAGTAGTAATGGAAAGTTTAAGAAGGGAATGGAGGATGAAACAAAGATTTGCGTGCTCTGTATATAAGAGGGCACCAGACTACATCAGTAGGCAACAGTGGGCCAGTAATCTACTTTGCAAACTATGAACATACTACACAGTTAGATGGAACTATTTTTTTTTTAATTGAGTTTGTACGCTATTGCCCTGGCTGAAGTGCAGTGGCATGATCGTGTCTCACTGCAGTGCTGACTTTCTGGGCTCGCGATCCTCCCACCTCAGGCTTCCGAATAGCTGTGATTAGAGGTGTGTGCTACCATATTCAGTTAATTTTTAAATTTTTTTGTAGCGACAAGGTCTTGCTATGTTGCCCAGGCTGATCTTGAACTCCTGGGCTCAAGTGAACCTCTCACCTCGGTCTCCCAAAATACTGGGATTACAGGTGTGAGCCACTGTGCTGGGCCTAGATTACATTTTGTAATTCACAAAGGGCATTAGGAATAGAGTGTGCTAGTTAAGAGCTCAGCTCTTGAGTTAGCATGGACAGTTCTATTCCCAGTTCTGCTACTTACTAGCTATTAATTTTTAGACAAATTATTTCAGTTTCCCTCATCTGTAAAATGATTACTTCTATTGTAGGATTAGTGTGAAGACAATACATATAAAACACTTAGCAAACTGCCCAAGACCATGGTAAAAGTTTGATAAATTTTAGCCATTGTAAATTATCTAATTTGATCCTGACAAGGTATGTAAGAGGCAGGTCAGATATTCCTGTTTTATAGATCAAAAACAGTTTCAGAGACATTACGTATTTGGCAAAGGTCAAATTGTTAGATAAATGGTAGAGCCCAGAATTACGGCCCAGTCCAGAACTTCTACAGTTAATACTTATGTCAGACTAGGATAGCAGAAAAGATTATCCCCTCAGATGAGATTTTAAAAAATATAGACACACACACACACAATTTAAAACAAATGAGGCAGGCAGCATTTTAATGTACTTTTATTTACACTGAAAAAAACAAAACAATTTCGTATTTAAAGAAAAAGCTGTATTTAGCATAAATGAGTCATGATGTGGGAGTTGAACAATCGCTTTTTTTCTTTTTCTTTTTTTAGTCAGGATCTCACTCTGTCACCCAAGTTGAAGTACAGTGACATGATCATGGATCACCGTAGCCTCAAACTCCTGAGCTCAAGCAAGCCTACCACTTCAGCCTCCTGAGTAACTGGGACTACAGGCATGTGCCACTGCACCTGGCTGCTTCACTTGTTTTTAAAACAAATAAGGTCCTAAGTCAAGGATCTGAGTGATCTTTGCTAAACACTCTAATTCCCTCAGGACAGAAATGATACGTTTGTAAAAGATAAAGTCTGTAGACATTTCCTTCTCCTTACTGATATTTAATTAAAGAAATATGAAATTTAATATTTTCACTCAGCCTTAACAAGTGCTACAGGTCCAATGATTGTGAAACATCTTTTCAAGCCATGAATAACAAATATAAAATGAAAAGAATAACTCTAAGTCTAAAAACATTGGAAGTGCTTTTTTTTGGCCTTTCAAGATTAAATAAGGTAATTATAGCGCTTTAACAAACCATCCTTATTAACTTTTATTTGACTCAGGGGATAAAAATTTGGAGAAAAAAATATGTATATATATATATATTTTGAGTTGGAGTCTCATTCTGTCACCCAGACAGGAGTGCAGCCTCGACCTGCTGGGCTCTGGCGTTCCTTCCGCCTCAGCCTTCCAAGTAGCTGGCACTACAGGCACGCATACTACACCCGGTTAATTTTTGATTTATTGTAGAGATGAGGTCTCGCCAAGTTGCTCAGGCAATCCACTCATCTCAACCTCCCAAAGTGCTGGGATTACAGGCTGAGCCACTGAGTCTGGCAGAAAAAATATATTAAGTGATTATTAAGACAAACATTTAGGGCAACCCCCTCGGGTCCCCTCCCACTGCGGGACCTTTTCTGTTTTCTCAACAAATCCTGCTTTCTAAAAAAAAAAAAAAAAAAAGACAAACATTTAGAGATCTGAGGTTTTTTAAAAAAAGTAGTGAACAGAGTTATACGGAAAAAAAAAAATTATTTTTCACATTTTAATTTCTTGCCACGAAGAATGCAAGACAAATTCTGAACTGACCTGAGGTTAACAGGTTACTATACCACTCAAGAACTTTTCATTATGGGAATACTTTGTATCAGTGGATCTTTAAGTTAGAGAATAATCATTTTCTTGGCTGGGCTCCTGCCTGTAATCCCAGCGCTTTGGGAAGCTAAGGCAGGAAGGAGGACTGCTTGAGGTCAGGAGCTCAAGACTAGCCTTGGCAATAGAGTGAGACTCCCATCTCTACCGAAAAAAAAAAAAAAAGCTCAGTAGTCTTAGCTACTTGGAAGGCTGAGGTGGGAGGACTGCTTGAGCCCAAGAGTTTGAGGTTACAGTGAACTATAATCACACCACTGTACTCTGTACTCTGCCACTGTACTCCACCCTGACAGAGTAAGAACCTGTTGAAAATTTAATTTTCTTTTTTGAGTTGGAGTCTCATTCTGTCACTCAGGCTAAAGTGCAGTGGCATTCTCACAGCCACTGTAGTCTGGATCTGTTGGGCTCAGGCAATCCTTCCGCTTCAGTCTTCCAAGTACCTGGAACTACAGGTGTGTGCCACCATGCCCAGCTAATTTTTTGATTTATTGTAGAGACGAGGTCTCACCAAGTTGCCCAGGCTGGTCTCAAACCCATGGGCTCAGGCAATCCTCTCACTTCGGCCTCCCAAAGTGCTGGGATTACAGACTTGAGCCATCGCACCCGGCCTAAAAAATTTTTTTTCTTAAGAAAATTAGCCGGGCTTGGTTAAAAATTAGCCGGGCTCGGTTAATCCTTCGATCCTCGGAAGGATCGCCGGAGCCCAGCAGATCGAGGCTGCAGTGGCCAAGAGCGGCCACAGCCCTCCAGCCTGGGCAACAGAGTGAGACTCCAACTCGAAAAAAAAAGAAAAAGAAAAAGAAAATTAGATTATAGAGGAGTGATAAGAGGTTTACAAAATAATTATAATATAATTATATTTTGCATATAAAGTGACAATCGTGAATAGAGAAGATATTGATGGATAGAGACAGGAACGAGGCATTCTTAGTAAAGAGTTGTGAGTAGGACAGGAAAACAGGCCAGGGAGATAGAAAGAATACAGTACTTTAGTTTGGCTGGGCACAGTGGCTCACGCCTGCCATCCCAACACTTTGGGAGGTGGAGGTGAGAGGACTGCCTGAGCCCTCGGGTTTGAGACCAGTCTGGGCAACTTGACCAGACCACATCTCTAAAAAAAGAAAAAGAAAAAAACAAAAGAAGGAATACAGTACTTTAGTTTCTTTCTTTGTCTAGACTACGTGACAGTAGAGTAACAATAAAGGACCTAGAAGTTTTGAAGTAGGGATAGTCACAAGTGGAGGTGGTGCTCTTTCATGACAGCCCAGCTCCCCAAACAAGGGTGACAACAGAAGCCCTTGAGACTGCGAGAGTCCTAAAAGAGAGGAGGTAGATAAAGAAGAGAAAAAAGCCAGATAAAGTAAAAAAAAGGAACCAGAAGGCAAAGGAGGAGAGAATGTCCAGAAAGCAGTCAACTCCTAATGCTGTATATATTATGAAAAAAAAATGGCTAAAAAGGAACCACTGGAATTAATAAGTATAAAAATATAGATCTTCCAGGAACAAGTTTCAGCAGATCACTGAGATTTCAAAGGAGGAGACAGAATGAAAGTCCTGAAGCCAGCTGGGCTTGGTGGCTCAGCCTGTAATCCCGCGTCTTTGGGAGGCCGAGGTGAGTGGATTGCCTGAGCCCGCGGGTTTGAGACCCGCCTGGGCAGCGAGACCTCATCTCTACAATAAATAAAAAAATCAGCTGGGCATGGTAGCGTATGCCTGTAATTCCGGCTACTTGGAAGGCTGAGGCGGAAGGATCGCTGGAGCCCAGCAGGTTGAGGCTGCGGTGGCCGGAAGCGGCCACTGCACTCCAGTCTGGGCGACTGAGTGAGACTCGAACTCAAAAAAAAAAAAAGAAAGTCCTGAAGCTTGAAAGTTAGGTAAACTAAAAAGCAGATTACAATTTTTTTTTTTTTGAACGGAAGATTGTTGAAGCATTTACGAATTGAAGGAAAGAATCTGAGGAAGAGGAAACAAGTGGTGAAGATGGAGATCAAATTTTGGAAGGGAAGTAAAAACAAGGAGCTTAAATACTTTTTTAAGAACCTCAATTGAGAAACAAAGGTCTTAGTTAATCCTTACTAATTAATTCTTACTTAGTTAAACCTAGTGGGTAGCCTTAAATTAAGTTTAGCCAAAAGTTATCTTCTTACATATTTTAAGTTGTCCAAAAGATTTCTCCATACATAAGTGAACTGTAACCTACCTGGAAATATAAATAGGATGTAACCAATTCTTGTACCAATCACTGAGTTTTGGCCAATTAATGTGGTCAACTGTTCAAACTATGTTCAAATAAGGTATAACATTGAGCTGGAACCAATCCAGATGTTTCTGAACCTCGCTTTCATTTCCTGCATGTTATTTCCTTTTCCTGTCTACAAATCTTTTCCAACCATGCAGCAGTGCTGGAGATTCTCTGAACCTATTCTGGTTCAGAGTCTGCCCGATTCATAAATCGCTCTTGTTTAATTAAACTCTGTTCAATCTGTCTAAGGTTTTCCTTTTAACAGATGATTCTAAAAGGGGATCTGAAGTAGAGTGTTTAGTGACTGGCCAGGAGCATCGAGTGATGAAGTGTGGTAACTGCCAGACTCATTGTGTCCATTGTTCTCTTTCAGCAACTGGGGATCGTGGGTAAGTTCTCTCTCAGATTCCAAAGCTCCATGGATTTGAGTTTTCAAATATCCAAGCTTGTTTGAGCAATTTTTTTTTTTTTTTTTGAGTTGGAGTCTCACTCGGTCGCCCAGA